GGTGCATTTCTGTGGGATGATTTCCCGCGGTATATCAGAGATCTGCCTGTCTGCTCCAGCTGTGGATTATTGGACCGGCTGCTTGAAGGCTGTCTCCACTCTCACTGGTTCTCAGGTTCTCTGTACGACCCACGCAGGTTAAAGAATTCACAAAGCCGAGTCTTTGCAGCGCTGCGGTTTGTGTGCAGGTCTTTAAAACAAAGTGACCTGGATTCAGTTTCCACCTGATTTTGCACCTGTTCTCCCGTTTGCTCAAGCAATAAAACTGTTATCACGGTGTACGGTTATGTTGTAATTATTAACTGTGCCACCCAGGAGAAATGGCACCATCGTATTTTTTTTAGCTCCACTGGCTATTTAGAAATAGCTTTCTGGTGATCATTTAGTCTACTTGTCCAGCTATAATCTTGATTGTATCTAATAACATTAAAGTAGAATAAATACAATTTGAACCAGTAGTATGACTTATCATACTTATATCAGCAAAGCAGCTAACCAACTATAAAGAGCTATTTATGAAAAACTTTCATAAAGCCTTTATGGCATATTAAAGAGGAATGCAGATTACACGCACACATTTCTGAGCTCTTATTGTACTGTACACATCTGGCGACTTTATAATAAGGACTCCAGGTCTACTACATCTTCCAAGGAAGGGAAGGTTATGTGTGAACTGTTCATAAAGCAAAATTAACTTAAAATACAGAAAACATTGTTTATACCAAATTTAGACTAATCGCTATATTACTCTGAACAGGGGAAACCTGGTTTTCAGTAATATGCATCATACTGGAATGAAGTGCAGAACCCAATGAAGTGTAATCAGTGTGTATGTAGTGACTTGTCTTGTGTATATATATAGTTTGTTCTCAGGTTTTGATCTCAACAGTCCTGTAGATGTATACATACTGTGTATATATAATACTTGTAGACTAAGCCATCCTGAGTCTATGCAGCAGCAGTGTTGGATGAAAAATGACTGTGAAATCATTTTCTGTAGTTCAGGCCATGTCTTTGAACAGTCAACAAGTGTTGTCGTTAGACTTATAGTTGTAGTTTGATATTAGACCTCTTTTCCTGATTTCTTTTTGTCCCCACGATTAGATTTAAGCAGGTTTGCGTAGCTTTATTTGCCTTTAATACAGACTTGCAATGGAATGAAAGCCCAGGCAGATGTTTCCATAAGAAGCCATCTGATTCATCGATTCGCTTCAGTTGATACTTTTAAGAGAGGGAAATGCCTCAAGTGATGTACATGAGATAAGAAATCAGAGGTGGAGCGCAGATGAACTGTACCCCTCCAGGCGGTGTATCCTCGGTCTTGACAAAGAAGGGAGCCTCGGTAGTTTCGTGCAGCATCCAGATATGGAGATTAGCATGGAGCCATCAGCAGCGCTGCAGTCCCTCCCTACCCTGCTTCTCCTGTCAGACCGCCTCCTCCCTGCTTGTCAGGAGCTCCGACGAGGAGCTGTAAAAACCTTTTCCCCTCTCCTTAACAACTGCAAAACAACACGCACACACTCGGGCTGAGGTGCCTGCTTTTCTGAGGCCTCTGACAGGACGTGCTGCAGGCACAAATTGTAATTCATAAAGGTTAAGGGGGTCAATGCCTTTTATTACCAGTCTGAGTGCATCCAGCTTGATGGGGCGGGCATGCAAATGGAATGTCTCAGAGTGTTCTATGCAAGAACTCAGACAGCGAGTGCGTGCGTGCTTCTGAATGGGAGGAAGTAAAAGGTGGTGGGGGGTGCGTGAGACCCGGTGCTCTCTCCACCTTCCTCAGCCATGTAGGACCACACAGCCGCTGCCCGGTTAATTAGACAGTATGACATTGACCTCAGGTAGTTAACGGCCACTTTGATATGTGCCGTCTTGCAATTAATATATTGTAAATCTTCATGTTTTATCATACGGCTAGCTCTGACCTATAAGTGTCTGCATTACACTTGGGCCTACAATACATTCTTACATCTTACATTTGCATTAACACAACCGCAATATCAGCAATGTGAAACTAAAGATCTGTGATGTGTTGGTTTTGTTTTCAAAGCTCTCTCGTTCTGCACTTACATGATCAACAGGAAGATTAAGAGGTTCAGACCAAACCAGGTGCAGTATCAGAAAAATGGGATAAAAGTATAATTATTATTGATTATTTATTTATTGTCTATGGGATAGTTATTGAGACATATAACAAGAACAGATAAAATTGTATTCTGGTTAATCTGCTTGTGAATTTTAGAACAATGCTGTTGTGCATAGCTAATGTTTCTCATCTCTTTTGTGACCCCTGCAACAAAGGCTATGATTACATTAGACCCCATTGCACCCTCTGCTGGACCTTTATGGACGTTACTTTGTTCTTGGTCGCTATAAGATATGTTTAAGCCATTCTCAGTCTCCGGCTGGACAAGGCTTTTAATGATGCAATAACAGGTTTGTGTCTTCATGGAACAATAATTGCTGGACATGAAATATAGTTTTACCAGATTATGGGATTCCTTTTTTCTGTTTTTTACGACACAAGTTTGATTTCAGCTTTGCAGAGGTTATTACTAACACATGATAATAAATGAAATCATGTGAAATAGGCCGTTGAAAAGTAACTACTTGGCACACAACCCCTAATGCAAAGTAAATACGTAGAACATCAGAATAGGCTGAATAGAATAGAGTGGAACAGAATAAATTAGAACAGGATGTGATAGAATACAATATATCAGAATAGAACAGAATAGTATACTTAAGAGATTTAAGAATATAACAGAATAGGATAGAACAGAAGGGTTAAAATATGACAGAATACAACAGAATAAGATAGAATAGGATATGATAGAATAGAACACATAAGAATAGGATGGAACAGAGCATGAGAGAATAAATAGAACATAATACAACAGAATAAAATAGAATATGATAGACAATAATACAACTGAATAGAACAGAACGCAACAGAATAGAATCGGAGAACCGAACACAATAGAATAGCGTAGAATATAATTACTTTTGTTCAGCTGTTCTTTGACTTTTAATGCATAAAATACTTTGCTGTCTTCTTCTGTATTTCTTGTACATACATGATCTACTGAATCTGTGGCTTGTGGCTTCATGTTGACTATGAAACTGAAAAGATCATACCTGAGGAGCCACTGAGACATTCCTCTCTTGAAGCCAGCATGCAGCAAAGGCAGACTCCCTGTGCTCATTACCTTTCCATCACAGACCAGCTGCTGTGGAGTCATTCATCACGATTACAAATCCGACCCGGTGTTGGTAGCCTACAGCTCCACCATCAGCCTGTGAGATGCACAGGCAGGGCCCTGAGCCATCGGTCCCTTTGGGCAGAGTGTTAAATTCACACCACAACAGGTGATGGTAGTGGACAGCGGCAGGCAGCTTTTCTTATGAGGGAAAAACTCATTTTGAAATACTGGTTGAAATTCTGCTTCTCTGCAGCCAGGATGGAGACCGTTTGACAAAAATAAATTGTCTCTTTTTTCGATGTAGTGCTGGTGTGATGCCAATTACAATGTCACTTAGAACAGCTTTGACAGAGACACAGGGATTTATCCTTCTTTCAGCTAAATGTTTGACCCGCAGCAATGCTACAGCCAAGAATTTCCACCCTTGAAATAGACCCTCATTCCCACAGTTGAGCCAAGGTCTACCAAGAACAGATATCTAAATGTTAACCGTCACAACTTTATGGATTTTTACCACTTCTTGCCTGCAGAAATGATTACAATAATATTTTAACGTCCAATAATCAGACATGCATTTGTAATATATATTTTAAAAAGTTTATATATTTTTATCATTAACACTCATCCACAGAAACAAATGCAACTGAACTGTTACAAGCAATGGCAAGTGTGTTGTCATTGTTTTACCCCAAACGTACTGCTTATTAAGGTAAATGCTGCTTTAGATACATATAATAGTAACCCATTTAAATCCACATGTTTCCTTATGTAACTTTAAAGGTGGAAATACAATCTTAACCAGCAGTCTTCACATTTGTATATTATGTATTGACTTGTTCTGGCTGTACATTGAAGTTATTGGATATGGTAAGTTTACATTGAATAAAATACTTAAACCTAAGACCTCATGTTTTTTTTATGGCTGGAGCATTGCCTCAAATGAAACATTTCCCAACCTCGTCTGTGGCACTCAGCCCCACAGACATTAGTTGCTACTAAAGATGTGTCTTTAAAAATAGGTCACAAATAAATACTGTCATTTTGTAAAAGCTGAATGATTTACTGGTCACTGTAGTTTTTAGATAATATTACTCAAACAGGAGGAAATATGTATTTATGAGGTGCTCCCTTTAGCCATAGCTTTGTTGCACAACTCAGTATTTACAACAGCAGGAAATGTATATGGGATTGACTTAAAATAACCTACAGCATGGTTATTGATATGTTTTAAATTGCTTTTTGGACAACAAACAGCTATGGCACGGAGGAAAAATCTATATCACACTTTGGCAACAGTACTTGTTAGTTGGATCAATTCATTGTTGGTTTGCATCTTTTCATGGGATTGTTATCCCCAGATTTACAAGATGGTCCCTGTATAATTAATAGTTTGGTCTACAAACTTTACATGGTGTTTATTATTATTTTAACTGAATAAGGGTCCACATCTGTTTTATCATCAGCTATCCACCCATTTTCTCTTTAAGTTCGAATATCTTCAGCTTATATTCAACATTATAGTAGAGTCCGACCAACATGAGCTGTCAGTTTAACATCAATACAACTATAAACAATATAATTAAATGTAGTTTATCGTCCTTCTTAGTTATATCCACTCAATGAAGGCGCATTCATCAATATACACAAACAAAGATTAGTTTTGTGAATGAACATTGCTGTTTTTTGCGATCTTGTTCAATAAAGTTTCTGTGAAATGACCTTCCACCGTCGTCATCCGGGCCTCTAAATACGTCACATCGCGCATGCGCACTGTTCTACTGTGGTTCGACCTCTGCAGTCGGTAAGTGTGTGATGGCAGTTTGAATGAGAAGCGTATCTTTACAAATCCAATTTCATCCTCTCTCTTAACTCCACATTGCTGCGCACAAGTGAGGATAGCATGCAGCATGGATGTGAATGTACATATGAGTGCCTTCATTTTCTCCCTGGAGCATTTTTACACCCGTTTGACCTTACTTCTCTCTCCGGTCTTCCTTCCTCAGAGAGACCCGGGCTTCAACCAGATTTGACCGAACCTGTTAGAACTACCTAAATTAGAAGATGTACGCCTGTGCAAAGTTCGTCTCCACGCCGGCTCTGGTGAGTTTTCTCTCTGTGGTGTGTTTTGTGTCCTGCTCCCTGAAGTATCCCGGATAAATCCGGTGGGCCTCTGGCTGATCTTGACTGCAGCTGACTGGCAAGGGTATCCGCAGTCTAGGCCAACGGGCTAGCTAGCTCTTGCTAAAGCACAGCATTACGTAAAGGTTTTTTTAAAAACGTGTGCAATGTAGCGCTAATGCTAATGATTCAGGTGCATGTAAGCTATCTTAAACACTGCCTTTGCGTTAGCTTGTAGCAAACATGTTCAGTAATGGCCGTAAGCTAAGGTCATCACAAGCCTTTTGTTAGCCGAGTTTTGTGCAGAGTTCCCCTGAAAACTCACGAACATGTCTGTTCAACTGATCCACAAACTATCTCCTTTAAATTATATTAAATGTAGCCTGTGTTGTCAAGTCATTCACCAAGGTCATATTTCTGTTTCTAGTTCCTCTATTAGTCTTACCAGTTTCAATTAAAATAGGACAATTTGTTAGGAAGCTTTTTATTGTATTTACACAAACCCAGGAGTGACTTCGACAGCACAGACTGTACCCACAAATTATTAAAGCCCACAGGTCGTAACGTGTGTGCACTGCAGTGAGTGACTCTGATTAACAAAGTGACATTAGGGTTCCTTCCACCTGCTCAGACTGGTAATGGCTACCAACAATATGTATCATATCTTATCAAGCTTTTGTGTTTAACTAAATGTGTTCTGCGTTTTGTGTCCGTGCTGTTGCTTTCAGGTCCGTGCTGGTTCCCGGGCTCTTTACAGACCCCTCTCTGCCTCTGTGCTGTCCAGGCCTGAGCTCAAAACAGAGGTGAGAATAAACGACAGGCTTTCTACTGGGACTGCAACTGTCATTCTACCACTTGATTGTTTAATGCTCATTTACTTTATAAAATGTCAGAAATATTGTCAAATCATCGTGACGGTTAACATGGAAATTGGTACTTGACAAATTATAGTAAAAATTGTAATTTAGTATTTTTTTCCCATTCCTTTATTGTTCTCACTTACTGTATTGTCATATCTCATGTCATTGGTGTTGAAGGTGTAAGTTAACCGTTTTTGTCTTTTCTTGCTCCAGAGCGGCGTTGCTGTGATGCCACAGAGCCCCCTCACCCAGGTCATACTGAGGGGCTTCCAGACCAGCGCTGTCAGCAGGGACATCGACACTGCTGCCAAGTTCATCGGAGCTGGAGCTGCCACAGTCGGAGTAGCTGGATCTGGAGCTGGAATTGGGACTGTGTTCGGCAGTCTCATTATCGGCTATGCTAGGTTTGTTCTCACAAACGTACATCCTGAAAATATTAAAATTGACTCGAATTAATAGATTTCTGGTGCGTACTTTGTTTTTCCATTGATGCCATCGTGTGTTCTTGTCTGCAGGAACCCATCTCTGAAGCAGCAGCTGTTCTCATATGCCATCCTGGGATTTGCCCTGTCTGAAGCCATGGGACTGTTCTGTTTGATGGTTGCTTTCCTTATCCTGTTTGCTATGTAAAACTCTGCTGTCATTCAACACTTTCATTACAGATGTGACTACATATTTTATTGTGGCTACCAAAATTGTTCCGTGTTGGTGTCATGGAAATTTACATTTTCAAGACTTTCAGACACTGTAAAAATACACAAAACATGTATTGTACAAATGTAAGAAATTACGTGATTAAAATACATGTATTTGACTATTTAACAATGGCACTTTTAACTTTTATGTCTGGAATATCATGCTAGCCCAATAGAAAGCAGTCCTCTTTCTTGAATGTCATCTTTTCTGTGAAGCATCTGCGTTGACTTGTCATGAGTCGGCCTTGTTTTCTTAGCGCATCACATGGAAGATTTTGGGGTCCATCTGAATTCATTCTTGGATAAGATGCAGTTAAACAGTACTGTAATTAGACAGCAAGTGAGTGCTTGCTTTTGTAAATGGCATTAAAAAAATCTAGAGGATTTAATGAGCTATTTAATGGGTTTTGACTTTTTTGAATCTCATGCTGGGTTGTTAAAATAATTGGCTTTCTGTCATGGAAGCTGGGCTGAATTTAGTTAAAACAGAAACGAGTTAATTTATTTTATAAACATGTACGGTTATCGGTTACTGTTTGAATCACTTTATGAAGCAATAATAGCCAACATTGTCCTGGTACCAGCTTCTCCAAAGGAAGAATCTGCTGATGAATATTTATTTCAGTTTTGTTCCATTTTAAATTGAGTGTCTTTAGGTTCTGGTCTGTTAGACAAACTCTATTTAAAAGTGTCTCTTTGGGAACTGGTGATGGGCTAATTATTTATCTAAACATGCAAATTAATATCCAATCACAGAATGGTAAATACCAAACAACATATACCGGTGTAGTTGACAGTTTAAGATGTCAGATGGAATTGAAAGCAAGCTTGTATGTGCTGGTACTTAACAACTCAATAGTAGTCTTCTGAAGAAACTAAAAGTACCGTACATCCTTATCTTTTATAACTAATAGTTAATAACCATGTGCTAGAGTTTTTAACATTGAAAGCTAACGCAGTGCAAATATCTTAAATATAATATATCAACAGGTATATAGGCAGCACGAACACCAAACTATCAAGGTGTATGGCTACTTAAAGCCTCAAGAACATATAAATGAACAATACACTTGTTAAGTGAAGTACGAGACATCATATTCAGTAATTCAACTTTTGAAACGAAAATGTTTTTATCTGGTGGTTCTGGATTTTTCAGTGAGGGAGGAGTAGTAGATGTAATTTTAATGCGGTAATTTAAATTTTTTGTGAAAAATAAAACATTATTCAAAGCAGAGTATTTACATATGTCTTAAAAACCGCATTGAAGGGGATCTGTAATTAAATTACTGAATAAATGTTCAAAAACTACATGAGAATCCTGGCACTGTCCTCGTGTGACGTTTACGGAAATGCCTCAGCCTCTCTCGCGATACTTTGGTACAGACGTGGGATTTTGTAAATTAAGGGTTGTGGCTGAGAGAGGTAAGTCACCACTTAAACTGATGGCGAATGGACACAAAGCGGTTGTAAAAGGCATCATTTCTGGCACTGCGAGGGACTTGTGCTCCGGTACATTAAAGCGACCTCGAGATAAACACTGACATCTCTTTTGTTTACAGAGATATCTAGCTCTAAATATGGCGACGGTTGTATGTTAACGCAGGGCGCTCGGGCTATTCCATGGAAGCGACTGGGGCAGATAATTGCAATCTAACTATAAACGTTGTGTGTTTATTAGTGTTGCGCATTTTCTTGACATTTTACAACGTAAAGCGGTGCAGGATGTCCTGCTCAGCCGCGTATTTGGACCGAAAGAAAACAAACCGTCTTTTATGATGACACTGAGGTGTAAACAACCAAAGCATCATCGATATGCTTTGTCCAAATGTGTAGCTGTCCTCTCTCACTGTGCCACTCCACATATTATCCGATATGACTTAAATCTGCTGTCATTTGTGCCACAACCACAATGTTCATTCCACAACTTGAAGGCGCCACAGTCTTATTTGTAAACAGTTAACCCTTTACAATAATTCTCATCTTTATTTATTCTGATATTAAACTCCTGCTTGTGCGTTTTCCTTGTTTTATTTCAGGGTGACACAACAGGAATTCCTTAATATGAGTGATGACAAACCTTTCCAATGTACTGCTCCTGGGTGTGGACAGGTAAGTCATCTCTGTTATCGTGAATGTTATTGTGCCACTGTTTTATATTACCCTGTATGTAGACAGACCTGAGGCTGGATCAACCTGCCTGGGAAAATGCACCATGTGAGCACAATACGCACTGAAATAATAAAGTGTGATCGCTAGAGTTTCAACCCGGGGCTCCTGGAGTCGTTTATAGCATTAAGTCTACCTATTTTAATATGTAAATATGGACACAATAATAGAAACACCTGGAACACACCTGAGAGATGACTGATGTTTGAGTTGCTCACCTGCAGCTAAACAGCAAACAGACGTTCTGAAGCTTTCCCATGGAGATCCTGTTTGATTGTTCTTTCTGTTCTGACCGTACAAAGAGATTCACAAATGAGGACCACTTGGCTGTCCACAAGCACAAACATGAGATGACCCTGAAGTTTGGCCCTGCGAGGAACGACAGTGCCATCATTGCTGGTAAGTGCTCTTGATGTTGAGATGTGTTGATGTCATTCATACTTTACATTACAGTCTTGGTTCTGATGGTTTTCCTCCATTTGCAGACCAAACACCGACACCTACCCGCTTTTTGAAGAACTGCGAGGAGGTCGGACTCTTCAATGAACTTGCAAGTCCGTTCGACCACGACTTCAAGAGAGCGAGTGAATATGACATTAAAAGGGTGGTTGTCGTTGCCAGACTTCTTGTCAGCAGATCATCTCACTTCTACGTATTATCATTGATATCACTGATCTGTTTCATTGAGATGATTTATTCTTATTTTTCTGTAGTTACCATTGGATTTGTCACCTCTTGCGACGCCTATCATCCGCAATAAAACTGAGGCGCTCACAGCTATGGAGGCACATCGAGACAGCCCACTGCCTCACCCCGAATCTACCACCAACGATGACAAGGTAAAGCCTTTGAGTGAGCTGTTTGCAGTGTTTGTGCTAATCATGGAGCCTCGTGACAAGGATGTCACGAGGAGTGAAGAACAAGGCGTCCTCTTGTGATTGGTGTTATTCTCTGGAATTACACATCCACTTGTATGAATATAAACGTGATAAGTTATCAGATTATTTGCTTGTTTCAGTTTGACTTTGTCTCAACTTCCATGAAAAAATGCTAACAGTACTGCAGAAAATGACTGTCTAGAGAAATCCATTGGATGTATTAGATGACTAATACGCTTCCATGTGTTTAGCTCTTTTATTCCTAATATTGAGAAGAATACGGTGACATGTGGCCTTCATTTTATCATAAGAAGTGATTTACTTAAACAGGGTTGTAACGGTATACAGCGCCATTAACATGTACATGTGCTTATCTACAGTATTGATAAAAAACCTCAGTATATATTAGTTGTTAATAATCAGAGGGCGTTATTTTAAAAGCTCAAAGCTGATGTTATTTTTGTATATTTTAACATTCAACTCTTCTTAACAATCTGGTGTTCATTAAATGCTTCCTGCAGCTAAGGTCTTGTATGCTGTTTTCAGGATTTATCTTTGCAGCCAGCCTCACTGCCAACATCCACTATAGTCCATCCTGCATCCCTCCAAGTTCCCAATGTACTTCTAGCAACCTCAGAGGCTAATGTTGTAATACAGCAAGCTCTCCCATCACCAACATCTAGCTCTGTTATTACCCAAGTCCCATCCACTAATAGGCCTATAGTGTAAGTAACTCAAAACGTCCATTTTTTTATTTTTTTTAAATCATGGTTTTACTAAGTCATCTTTTTTTAAATATATGTGCAGTTTCGTTTTTGGTGAGCTCATATGTCATGAGTCATGTGCTTGTTTTTTCATTTATTTGCACTCTGAAGGAATTTATTTTTTGTGGCTGTAGACCTCATAAGTCTCGTCTTCCAGAATAACATCGACAATGCTCAAATATAGTTCAAATTCTGAGTGGTGGAAGAAAATTAAACAATCAAAGGGGTTTCCACATAATGATCTGTCCCTGTATCAGGCCTTCATACACCACTGTAAAGGGTATTGAGCCTCTTTTTATTTGAACAAAGACGCAGAAAGGTAGGATTATTGTTGTAGAACACGGACAGTGTTCAGTGAAGCACAAGCTCGCCAGATTGTGTGTACATGTGAGATATCCATTATGATCATCAATTGCCTGTGAAATGGAGCTACAGCTACAGAAACTTTCACAGGTCAAAGAAAAGATAAATTGGACTTGTTTAAAAATCTGTCTGAATAATTATGTTTGCAGTGACGCACGGACACGAATTATGTTTTATTCTAAATCTGTCTAGCAGACTCTCCCTGGGCCCATAATTAATAAGCAAAGTAATGATCAATGAAGGACCCAGTTTGTAGAACATGAAGATTTTCCTTTTAGATTTTGGGAGTAAAATATGCTTCAAACACACAGATGATTTGGTGGAAATCCCACGTGTTTTACCGAACCAAAAGTCCACATCTGGGCAACACTGATGTCACTTATGGGGTCTAATGTGATGACAGAGTATGTGTTCTAATAATCTTGCTTCAACCTGTTACGCGACAGGTGTGTTTTTGAGTTGTTTTGGTTCCACTTTATTTTCCGTGAGTCGTTGCCTGATTGTGACATTATGCTGGTGTATTAGTAGCCACCCTTGTCTTTAATTTGCGAACAGATTTCGTTTTGTGTGTTAATCACAAAGTTGTTGTTTTGTTTCCCTCACTGGGATTTCTTCTCTCTCCCCCTTCAGCCCGGTGTCTGGCACCTTCCCTGTGCTCTTACAGCTGCCTAATGGTCAGACCATGCCGGTTGCTATACCTGCGTCTATTGCAACCTCAAGTGTACATATCCCAACTACGATCCCTGTGAGTTCGCTGTTTGTTATATTACGTTAATGTTGTTTTACTGTGTTTGAGTGAAAGCAGCATTTTGAAACTTTTATGATAATTTAATGACTGTTTTGAACAAATAATGATGTCGGTAACAAGTGTTTGTGGACAAAACAATCTCACCTGGAGGTCAGTTTAGTGGCTCATGTTCTCATGGAACTGTAAATGTTAACGTTTCCTTTATTCTGAGCAGTTTAGAGACGTCTCATTCATATTGGCTTGAAAGGCGAGCTTCACAATTCATTATTGACTTTGTGAAAACAGCAGACAGTCCATTCAGTAGCTGTTTCTGGACCTTTCTACCCGATCACAAAGCTTCAGAACAGCCACTAAATGAACCTTGAGGGGAGATTGTGTTGTCGACTGTCGTTTTCACGAACATGAATGAACTAACTAATTCATTTTTTCCCTTAAGCAGGGCAACTTTAGATAACTATATTTTAGTCCAGTGTGTAGAATAACAAAATCACTAGATTGTGTTGTTAATCACATTTTTTAATTTGGGATGTTGTTCGGACAATCGTTCACATCAGTAAAATTTGAAGTCCTTCCAAAAGGAACATTTAGAATACACTTATCCTGTAGCGATACATTAATACCACAAATTGTCTTCACTCTACTTGGACAGAGGGAGTGGTTACAACTTTGGCATCTCAGATTTGGCAGTGAAGTCAGAGCTGCAGCGGTTGAGGGAGGTAATGGACTTAAGAGTACAACTGTGTGTCGCTGTGGCAAAGACACAGGATTTGGCCGAGGCACAGCGGGCTCCGGTCCAGGACACTTCACTACTATTTGTCCTTGTGCAATTAGAATGAACGCTCTTGATTTCTGGCAGAGCAGATAGATGATACTACTAATGTGTTTTGCTAACCAATTATAACCGATATAGGAAATCTCATACTGGAGATATGTTTGTAAATCAAGGTTTTTGGAATTTCTTTTAAGTCCCCCATGTGGGAGCTTGTCTTGTTGTTCGCTGTAGTCCTGGTTGTCTGTGTGGAACACTGAGCAGCAGATGATTATCTCCTGATAGCAGCACAGCAGGGGAAAAAAACCTCTATCTTCCCAGTCTGTGGGGATTGGGAAAGCCGTTGACAAGTAGAGGAGGGCAAAAGTAGATGGAGAACATAAGCCACTGGTGGGGCTTTCACTCGATCATACCCCCCACCCCGCCTTTTCTTTCTCTCCCTCTCCACCTCTCCCCACCTCCCTCTGTCTCATTGTCAGCGGCTGCGAGATGAGGCCTGGCTCTGGCCTTCTAACTCGTGTCTCTCCATCCTCTCCTCAGCTTCCCTGCCCATATGCTCTCACGCAGGCAGGCAGAGGTTCATTAGCGTGCACACGGCATCTCCATGTGGCGCTGCCTCCACAAAATAACAGGCCATCCAACCTAATGAGGCTGAGATATGAGGAAACTCTGGGAGCCTGCCGCGGCTGTGTTTGTGTAACATGCGAGCGTTTGTGTCTTTTTTTAACAGCTGAAGACAAATCTTCTCCGTGCTGATCTGTCTCTTTGTCTCTGCTGTCAGCTTGTCAGACCTGTCACCATAGTGCCTAACGTCCCCGGGATCCCAGGACCTCCCTCGCCACAGCCACAGCCCGCCCAATCAGAAGCGAAGCTGGTATTAACTATCTCTTCTTTTACATCAAATATTATTTCCATGTTGAGTCTGTCATTCCCCATCTGAGAGGGATAATAACAACCAAAGTAATGAGGGAGCCTTACGATAAGAGATCAATTCCTTCACCAGATGAGGGTGCTAGTGACAGGTTGGGTCTATTTATTTGTATTCCCCTTTTATCAATTGACTTTCCATCTGGATTTTACCACCTAATATTTCTTTGAAATTTGATTTGATTTATAGCATTGCAACGATTAGTTGATTAACTGATGAGTCCGAAAATTAATTTAGTCATTTTTTAAGCAAAATGCTAAATATTTAGTGCTTCTATTAATAATAACTTTATTTGTAGAGCAACTTTTATGTTAAGATAAGTCCCAAGTTCTTCATAAACAAGTTTTAAAATAGTCATAGATCAAAAATAAAAATGAAAATAAACCATTACAATAATGCATGCATTTAAGGATTTGCTATCTTTGGGTTTCGGACTGTTGGTCGGGGAAATCATAACAGGCATTTTTCACTATTTTGTGACAGTTAATTGTGAAAATGATCTGCAGATTAATGGATAATGTGTGGGAGAAGCTGTTCATAACAGTCTTGCAACTAACTGGGTCCTCCTGTATACAAAGTGATAGTTGAAGGGCAGGGATATGAAGTGTTTGGAGGGAGATCAGTGGCAATGTGATGAAGCACGGATCACAGAACCTGTAAGTGTTCGCAGCATGCCCCGCCTGTGGAAATTAACAGATAAACTGCAGAGAGGAGGTGTGTGTGTGTGTGTGTGTGTGTGTGTGTGTGTGTGTGTGTGTGTG